TGGGCGTCCTACACTACGTTTGCCGAGACGCGGTCTCCATTCAAGAACTCGTTTTCCCCAACGGTTGTCGGTTCTGCAATGATTAGATGCTTAGAAGCTTAATTTTTTTTAGCTTCAAAGTAACCATACACTTAAGTATTTGCTGTTAATTTCGCATTGGTACCTCACGCGTTCTTGAGGAAAAGTAGATAGGTTATTTTAAACGGGATATTAACCATTCTTGTTTTCGGATATTAGTTGGTTAGAAACTAATCGAGTTCGAATCAATACATTGAGAAAAACTGATTTAACAAAGACACAGACAGACAGAGAACAAAATAATCTTATTATTCTTTTGAGTAACGGAACCCTAAAAATCTCAGGTGATTTGATCGTGGAATTATTTTATTTAACTGTTAGAAGACTGACGCATGCTAGCTCGTGATCACGAACGGCGCAATTTGACCTAAACCTAAACAAAAAGTTAATAAAATTAAGTTCATTGTTAGTGTGATTAAGTTTCGATTCATAAATCTAATTTTGGTACAACGCCATCATAAGATTTAATTTTTATAACAGTTTTTGATCATTAAAATAGTCGTGTCAAGCTGTTTTTGTCCATGCAAATAACTAAATATCAAAATAAAGTTATTATGTATTTATTACATTATTTAATCGCAGACAATAATTGTTTTCTAATCTGTATAATCTGTGGTCATGTGACAAAAAACCTACCTCGAAGTAATTTACACGTTTTACGGAAAATATTTTAAATCACGTTTCGAAGTAAAAAAATAGTTTGTGTACTTAATTACTTAATATATTAAGAGCCATTATATCAGTTTTTAAATCTAACTGTTCAAATAAATATGTTTTTATTTTCCAATATAATTGTATTTTTTTTAATCAATATAACAGATCTTAATTACCAATCAACCCAGCATATCTTTTTTTTCCACTAAAAACCCTACTATCCCGTGGAATCCTACCATACCTAGGAAATAAGTATATCAGCGGTGCCGTTATACACAGGTCCGGACACGCCGACGGAACAAATATCTATATTATCTATGGTATACAATAGTAAAAATATAGAGTTGGGACACATCCATACTAATATTATAAATGCGAAAGTGTGTCTGTCTGTCTGTTACCTCTTTACGTTTAAACAGCTGAACCGATTCAGATGAAATTTTGGTATCTTATCTTATCTTATCATTCATAATTTCATTTAATCATTTACCTTAATCTTATATATATATAATTGGGAGAAGTCTTTTAAAGACTATGACGCCCAAACACATGAGAGCAAAGTTTTGACTTTTATTTTTGATAAAAGAATCATACAAATAACAAAATGACGACTGTTATCAATGAAAATGAAGACTGAATCAAAATTTACAATTTACAAAATTTCCAAGCGCCAAGAATCCATCAGAAGAAAAATATTTAGATTTATAAAGAGAATGGATTTACTTTTTACTCTATTATCTAGTTCAACTTCGAAACGCATATCCCAAACTTATTTCCAGATCTTGCGCAACTGGATTCATAAACAAAAAACTCCCCGAACCACCAATGAGATAAACAGTGTCCCAATTTTGAAATTAGAACACAGAATTTCTCCTTACTCCGCGCATAAACAAAAGCGGTGAGTGAGTCAGAAACTGGGCGAACGTTCGTAACTCGATCCTGCGCTAATTACACCAGTCCATTTGCCGCAACTGGGTAGATATGCGCGCGCGCAGCTGCGACGAAGTTCAAACGAATCGATCGACTGATTACGACCAATTGAAAAATTGGACGACGAATTGAGAAGTATCTTTATGGTGTCAGATGACCTGGTTTGCGAGGAATGTCCTGATTTTTCAGAGTGATGTCAGCCGTTCGTTGGCCTTGCGTGGGTTGGTTGATGTCAAGATTTAATATAATTTATTGGCTAAATTTGATATCCGTGGCGATCCTAATATACTCGTATGTAACCGTTTTATTTTGGTAATTCAATATATTTTTATAATAGATTTTAATTTCTAAATTCCAGTTTGAGACTGTTTATGGATTCTTTAAAATATTTTACAATAGGTGAGGAGGTATTGATGATTCAGAATATAAAGACTGCTATTATAACATTATCTTTCCAAGAAATACAGATAATATTTGACATGTACCGTTACCGTCTATTCCTAATAATTTCGAGTTTACCATAAAAATAAAAACTTTGATTAGAAAGATATTAATTTGTTAATATGACTTAAATTTAGAAAAAAATATAACATTATTTATTTATTTATCTTATATTCATCATCATCAGCCTATCGCCGTCCACTGCTGAACCGTCCTGCGCTGGCAGCGGATGAATACGGACTCCATCCGCTGCAAGCGCAGAAGAGTTCTTCGAGTCTTATTTTATATTCTCTTTAATCTATTTGTAGTATACATACATGACATGAAAATTAAAATATATATTAATCCTTTTTATTTAATAGGTATTTTGTTATTAGTCCTTGGACTATAAGCAGATAAGCTAAAGTATGGTGTGAATTGTCGAGGAGGATCCTTATTGGAAGCCTCTTTTCTTTTAGTTATCATTCAGCTGTTATTGTCCAGATGCTAAGTCCATTACAGCCGATCTTTTCAGGTGCTTTTTATGAACTGGCTTGGGTAATAGTCTTTTTTTAAATATAAAAGGACGCATAGGGAGCTCGTTTGGAGCCAAGGTCGACGAGAACATGTTCTTTAGATTGAGGAGCATCGTATTGTTGGTGCTCAACTAATGTGACACAGCTGGCTTTCTAAACGCTAGACGTAGGGTTGGTTGGTAGACAAGATGGGATTACACCCTAGATTACATCCTGGATTACATCCTGGATTACGTCCTGGATTACATCCTGGATTACATCCTGGATTACGTTGCATATTGTTAAACAAACTGGAGAGTCTACAAATAGATACGAACAAAGGGCATTTTCTATCTTTCCTGAATTCAGGCTAGCATTGTAATACTTAATATGAATGTTAGAAAACCACTTTATTTGTAAAATCTTGTAAAACCCATTCGTCTTTTATAACAACTAACTACTTATAAATAAATATCTTAGTCAACCAATCCCGGAATTACACGCAAATCCGAATAAATTATAACAACCTACACTTTATAATTTGTAAAGTATTAAATCCACCACAGAGCAATATCAACATCTTATTACAGGGAACGCGGGGCGTATTAACATAGAATATAAAATTGCGCTGGCGCAAAACTGGTCGACAATTTGCGCACGCGCCGCTTTCGCGGCAGGAAGCATTGGTTATTACCAAGTTCATGTTCGTTGAGAAAATGTCTATTGGCTTTCCATTTTTTTATTCTAGGACCCTGTAGAAGATCTTCATAATGGTCAGTTGTACCTGGTTTCTATAAAAGTTGGTGTTCCAGTGTATTTCACAAAAGATTTTCTAGCCTATTCACCAATCTAAGCTGTAGATGTATATCTGCTGTTTGTTTTACTTCAACACGTTTTAAGAACACAATCTTTGAACGTTTGTTAACACGTTGTTGGATACAGAAAATTAATCTTATGTGTGTCAGGCCTTTCTTAAAAAGGCATCCTGTTATTCAAGAAAGGTCCGATCTCTAAGAAACTAAGTGTGTTGAAGAAGAATGTAATGTTGTATGTTATATCAGTCCGTGTGGTGACGGATTAAGAATACGGAGAGTCACCATCCCTATTCATCCCCTGGGTGTCGTAAAAGCCGAATAAGTGAACAAACTACGCAGGACAACAACACTGCATAGGGAAGGAAAACTTGAAACAAACCAACCCGTCTGGCCAAAGTGGTATAGTAGGCCAAAACCACCTTTCTAAGGAGACGTCTATATCCAGCAGTGGACTATTAAAGGCTGTTGATGTGATGTGATGTTATATCTTTCCCCACATAATTAAGCTATTTAAGTTGAAAATGAGTTAAAATATTTTAGATAGCGCAAGCGAAGTCGAGGATCGCTTACAAAATCTAGAAATATGACCTGTACCGAAGATCAAAGTGCTTTTAAAGACTTCTGAACAGGTAATACGATCAGTGAGCGATATCTTTAAAACAACGCTAATTCCCAACGTTTTTTTAACCATATACACGCGTCTTAACAACTTCCTTACTCGCGATAATGCGCAGATGTAACACCCGCCCATTCCTGATTACCGAGATCCTTCCCGGGATCTTGTGGGAGTGATGGGAAGTCGACGATTATACTGATAGGTGTGATGAGGGCTTGTGTGAGAAAAAGTAATTGTGTAATTCGCGGGGAAGGTAGACAATGGGCAATAACGAAGATTGATAGCACTTATAGACATTTCGATATAGATATGTGTATGTAGTCTATTTTTCTAGTATCTTAGTATAAATATACTGTTCTTTTTTCATTCTTTCTATAACAGATTATAAAAAGCTTTATATACTCGTAGCTTTGGAGATAGAGAACCTTTAAGAAAAGTATCTAGTTATTTAAATAGTTTTTTATTCAAAAACAATACTGATTTTATTTGATTCTGTTTTTTGGAACTGGAATTATCTGCATGACTCATCCATCCCACACGGCCATTATTGTAACTCCTGTAAACCAGGATCAACAGCAGTGATCTCGACTGCAGGGATGGCGTAATGGTTTAAGCGGTCGCCACGCCGGTCACTACTACGCTGAGTGTTGTGGGTCCGATACCCACATGGGACGACATTTTGTGTGATCCACAAATTGTTGTTCTGAGTCTGGGTGTTCTTTGTGTCAGTTTCATGTATGTTTGTAAAGCCCCCCGCGACACAGGATATATTCCTAATGCGGGTGTTCTTTTTTAAAAGAAAAAGAAAATAATCTACGAACACAGCGAGCTACGACACTCGGGAAGTCCCAGAAAAAGCTATACTGTCTTGTAACCCGCAATGAAATTAATCAGAAGTAAATTTGAGGACGTGGAAATATAAATGATCTGTATGAATACCTCGTACTTAAACAAAATCACGCTCCCACTTACCTTACTCCGAGGGTATACACTAAGCACGTCAGACCACCACCTCGCCTCCTCCCGACACGTGCCCTTGACAAAGGTCACTCGTTCAGGCGCGGTCACCGCCAAGCTGTACGGGTGCCCGGTCACGCTGTCCGCCTCTGACACCTCCAGGACCGTCGTCATGTCTATGCTGGCTTGGGGGACTGTGTCTGGCTGTGGAAGAAAGAAACATATCGTCAATTTTATTCTTGTATTCGGTGAACTTGCTTTCTTTTAATATTTGTTATAAGACATTTGAGACTCTTTAACAGTTTGATTTAACGAAATATTTTGTCGGTAAAATTTGAATTCAGATTTTAATGATATGAGCGGTTATTTGACGGGGCAAAACTTAGATTACCTTAGGCAATTTACAAAATAATCTTTAAAGTTTCGCTAAAATTCAGAATGTCATTTCACATCGTGTTTTCTCGTTCAACCCCCTTATTGCTGAATTTTAACGAATTCATTAAATAACTTAGAAGAGCACCACAATTTAACTTTAATTTTTTGTCCTTTAAATGATTTATCAATACTATTGAACAACAAAAAAGAAATAAGAATCAAGATTTAAAAATTCAACACAATTCGAATTCCGAACCAGAACGATGCACAAACAAAAAGAAAAAAATTGCACAAGGCATCGACAACTCAATATAAACAGCCTATTTACTTTTTAATTCCACGATAAGAGATACTAATGGCGGCATTAAACGAAGCGCTCCTGTTCAACTATGAAATACAGACGACAGTATGGCTATTTTTCTCTGTCGTATTACTTGGTCAATATCATTGCTACCCGTCCATTTAGTGCTCTGGTCGTATTTTACATAGCCCGTGGCGATTACTTAGACTTGTAGCTGTAGTAATTAATACATGACAGGCAAGATTTTTAATTAAAGGAATCTCAAATAGGCGGTTGTCTGTGTATTGTGCCTGTGCGTAAGTGAATTGTGTGTGAGTTTTAATACGTCTTCATTTCTATTTGTATGTTATTGTCAATAGAAAGGACAATGTCAGGCATGTATGGGACTTTTGTACCGCCTCATTATTAATAAGGAAATAATTGTTTCTAACTGTGACAGTACAGTCTACACTAGTGAGTTCATTCATACGAGTAAATATCGATGTAAACATTTCGTTTTTATGTGAGTAATTTAAATTTTATGCCTGGCAAGTTTAAAAATATAGGAATGCGTTTTGTTAAACAGCCCTTAAACGTTTAGTTATTGCAGTTGTAACAATTCCTTGAGACGAATTTATTTACTTTTAGCAAAGTTTTTAAAATACAGTAATTACATGAAAATAGTTAGGATGACTGTCTTTATAAACGGTACAAATCTCATAACCCTCCATCATATATTATTAGGGGTACAGGATCTGCCGTTCTCCTTTGGTCACTGCATCAAGCATTTATTCAAAGGTCAGCCTTTTAAGATGTTTTACTTAATGGTATAGGGGGTCAAACTAGCAGACGGGTCACCTGATAGTAAGTGACTACCGCCGCCCATGGACGCCTGCTACTCAAGAGTCACAAGTGCGTTACTCCCCTTAAAGTTCCAGAATCATTGGAGGGGAAGTTTTCCCTCCGGTGACGTCACTCACTCGATGAAAAGCAAAGAAAGAACTCGATGAAAAGCAAAGAAAAAACTCGATGAAAAGCAAAGAAATAACTACTTAACGCCGCTTTTCTGTGAGGCCGTGGTATAACTCCGGTTGTACGTGTTTTCCGAAGTCATCTCAGCGTAGTTATGATCATTGGTACAGTTATTGATACTTCTACATCAAGTTAGAGGGTTTAAACTTCGAAGCAACAGTCAGTTCCACCATCACTGCCTTCCCGTCTTATTTATTTTTCCTTTAATAAAAAATCTCATTTTGCCATCTCATTCACTAAGTACCCGGTTGACGGCAAAAGACTTGAGCCGTGTTACGTTAGTGGGATTAAAATATTCGGCTAATTGTTTCCTAGCAGAAGTAATGGTGTGTTCTCGATTTTACCAATTAGAAAAGTATAAGTTAAAATTTATAGACTTGCAACCCTACATTACATTGTTTTGTACAAAATTGTTGCATTTATTTATTTAATTCATTAACAATTTATTACAATTGTGTCTGAATATAATTATTTATAATAGTGAGAAAAGATAATTAACATACAATCTCTAAAACAATTCACATTAAAACATATAAAATTAGTCAAAAACATTTCAAAAATATAACATTCACAACTCCCACCAGCCATATTAACAATTCAAGAACTCAATGTCAAACAAAATGAATCACTCGCTGTCAAAAATAAAAATGTCAAACAAAATAAATTAAATTAAAAATAGGTACTTAATGCAAACTTAATGTCAGTTAGAATTGTCATGTCATGGAAACAAAAGATCACACAATTATTGTGTACTTACATTAAAAAAAGGTTTAAATGTGTAACAGTTTTCCTCACGCATACCTGGAAACTGGAAGTAATTTCGTAAAAAAGATGGATTTTTGATTTTAATAGTGAACGCTCGCGTAGCTAAACTCGGCTAAAATTACTTACACATAGCCATCTGATCCCAAACTAGGCAGAGTCTATACTATGGCAACCAAACTGCTGATATTCCTAAATACTGATATATTTTTTAATAATTACATATTGTAGATAAATTACGCCCAGAAACTAAACAAATAATCGTGCTTATCACATTTATTTGTCGTGGATGGGAATCTAACACACTCCAGCAGGGCCGTCATAAATGTAAGTAAGGTATAAAATATAAATATCCCATATAACAGTCTATAATTCTTGTAAATAACCATTTAGATTAAAAACAAGTCCAATTACGTTTGTCCGGGGCCTTGCACTCAGCATTGAACCTAGTTGTAAACAGAAGTACTGCTTAATGGTGTTCTGTGTAATTTAGTATTTAGCACTGCTCATGACCTAGTGCTTATCCTAGCGGTATGATAATGTCTGGTCGACACTTGGTTAATGGCGCAAGTTATAAGCGACTGTGCATTTGAGCTATAAACAATTGGATATGGTAACTTTATAAACAAGCTATATCGAATTATGTTTAGGTTTATCAAATATTGTAAAATGATTCATATTGTCAGTGTTGACGGGTTAAGAATACGGAGTGTCACCATCCCATTTATCCCGTGGCTGTCATAAGAGCCGACTAAGGGAGCAAGCTACGCAGAACAGCACTGCAAATACAAGAATAACTTGAAACAAAACCCTATACCAACCCGTTTGGCCAAGGTAGTATAGTAGGTCAAAACCTCCTTTCTAAGGAGAGGCCAATGTCCAGCAGGCTGTTGATGTGATTCTTAAACTGATTTCATAACCGTTTAATCTGCGCAGTGGGACACCAAAAGGGACATTTATTTATTTAATTTTATAATTGCCAAACTAAAATTTATTATTTTAAGAAGGAAGAAGGCCTTTCCTTTTAGAAGAAAAATGTATAATCTCTCAAGACTTGTGTCGTAAAACGTCGAAAGGGGGCAGCTGACGGGCGTCTCCCGAGCACCCGACCGACCGATGACTCCGTCCACAACGGTACCTGCCTTACACCATTATATTAGTTATTCATCACTTGGCTAATCTCGAATTACCAATAGCTGTAACTTTCATCTTTCGAGCACGAAAGCTGTAAACCATTTAAATATAATCAGCGGAAATTATGAAGCTTTCAGCAGTTCTAGTACCTAAGTGTTGTTACGGTCGCTTACATAGAATTATCATTACGATGGTTATGGATCATCATAAGAATCGTAGTTTATTTTTCTATTTATCGTATCATTTGTTATAGAATATAGAACAAGTTTGAATATGGGAGACCCATGCTTCGGCCCATATGGGTGGGCCGAGCTGAATGTACGAAAACTGGTGTTGTTGTGTTGTAAGTTATGTGGGAATCGAACCTGACGTCTGACGTAACTGTCATCATCACTAACCAATACATCAACAAGCTAGTCAAATCTTGGTAAATTTCTTTAATACAGACTATTTAAATTAACATAAAATACTAATTAATGTTTGCAGTAACTTTCTCAATTACATCATTTAATTGAATATCCAAGTCAATCTCACTTTAAATATTAAATTACGAAACAAAATCAAATTGCTCTATATTTTAACATTGTCATTGTCAATATGTAAAAGCGAGACAGAGCACTCATTCAGTTTGAAATAAATAATATATTACAAAAGTGATTAATGTTTGGACGTTGACAATAACATGGCTTAATTTGATTTATATTGTAACTTTCGCCGTCCTCAAACTGTTTGATTTGAGCAGTGCAGGCGCAACTATTTGTTACGTCATCTGTTCCGTATTGCACTAGTGTGTTTGTAGAAAAGACTTATCTTTAAGAGACCTGATAATGAATAATAGAATTCCTAGCATTTATCCTTAATATTTTAAAGGTTTCGTTTGGTGCTTCTTCCTTATGTTCGTTAGACCACAGTGCGCGTGTGACACACACTTGGCCGGTTTACCGTCTACCATCAGAAGTGTCGCAGCGCAAAACTTTAGAAGTCAGATTTCCTATTTACATCGATCGTAAAACAGAACTCCACTTGTTGAGTTCGTCACATCAAAGGTTTTATTGCGCAGGCGCTGTAACTAGGTTCAGTGGACATTAATTATGTCTGGCTGGTTATAACGGCTTTTGTACGTTTAATACTTTATGCCCGTAACCGCTTACCATTTTCATTTCTTCTCTGAATTTCAATTCAATTTAAGACCAGTTCAAGCTTTTGCTTACATTCTCCGCACCATCCCTTCATTCTTCTTCTTTGACTGACCTTTTGGTCTAGTGGATAGTGACCCTGACTGCTACGCCAGAGGTCGTGGGTTCGATTCCTACCCAGGACAAATCATTGTGAGATCAGCACGGTCATTTGTTCTGTGTCTGGGTGTACTTTATCTATAGTATGAATGTATTTAGAAATATATAAGTATGTTTATCAGCAGTCGGAGTGCACGGATGGCGCAGTGGTTTAAGCGGTCGCCTCGCCGCTTCCTACTGCGCTGAGTGTTGTGGGTTCGATCCCCATATGGGACAACACTTTGTGATCCACAAATTCTTGTTCTGAGTCTGGGTTTCATGCATGTTTGTCAAAAGAAAAAAAACCTAGTTCGGGA